CTTTTAAGCTGCACTATCTCTCCTTCTTCATAGACGATAAGTCGGCTTTTTTATTACAATATCTCTCTCATCATAAATAGGTTAGGGCTAGGTGCTCATACCATTTTCAGAGATTTACCTTATACCTTCCTTCGTTTGCAGTGCGTATTCCGGGGCACCGTGCTTCGGATCCGATACGGCAGACTTTGGTAAAAGAATTACCAGGTGGTACCTTCATTTTAAAAACCTGCAAGCGCTATAAATGGTGAATCATTAATAGAATTATAGCCTGTGATATTATATGCCTGAAGGCCCCGAATTAGGTATAAATCCTAATCCAGTACGTGAAGAGCTTTATCAAATGCCTAAACCAGTATGACTGAAAAACGAATCGGCCTTCCAACATGTTAATCGCTAATTAAAGCCCATTTCCTAAAGATTCTAAAGGTTTTGCAATAGTTCGTATGAAATTTACTCTGGAAGATAACACTTTGGTCACCGTGTGCAGTTTAAGAAATCTCATATGGGCAAATCTGCTAGTTAAAAAACAAAAGCTACTGTTTCAACATGTTGAGTTTTCATAGGCCTCAAACCGGCAAAGTTTATGAAGTAGTCTGCAATTGCACGTCTATACTGATCTCCTGCCTGTGATTGTTGGGTATTCAACAACATTAGCGTCTTCCATTTTTCCTGCATATCCTCTAGCCATAGATTGAAACGGTGCAGCCGCTTGGATGTTGAGTCTCTTGAACCTGCTACAGGTTATGCCGACCCCCCAAACTTCTTACTGTTGGTTTGCAAAAAGGATGTAAGAAACCTCATGTACTCCAAAGCCGTATCGGAAAGAGCATTCGACGCCCTTTTCCTCTGGTATTCTTTAAACTCGATTTCCAGGCTGCCGTCAGTTTTCTCTGGATTCGGCTTTAAAGATGGAGTACCTGAGCTACTATAAGCTCTTCTATTCTAGTACTGTACGGCGAAGTAAAAATGTTCTAGTTCCTCGTTCCAGCAAGCCTCTAAGCAGTCTGTATCTTTGGTCCCAATCAAGTCAACAATTGATGATCTATTCGCACTGCGAACTGCTTCGATAGCTGATAGCGTCAAAATCACCGGACCATTACAAAGTGACAGAAATCTTCCACCAGGTAGCCCTTTGTATTCCATGCGCTCATTGTGTTTGACGTGTTTTTGACCTCATTCGCTCTTCTATGTTAACATGGCACTTACAGATGTATCGCTAACTTCACTGCCTAGAGCAAACAAATGACGTGCAGCCCCGAATATAATGCTGACAGGACCGGCGTGGAGCGATTAAATCGCTTCTGTGCTTAAAGAGAGTGATTGCAACGTGCGATGTTCTCCGCAAGTAGAGAGTCCTAGCGGTAAATAATCCCGAAGGCGCGCGATCTTCCTTTTACTTACTTGGGCACACTAGTCTGGGCACATGTCTCAATTACTTCTTACCACTTCAAGAACTCTAGGGCTAAAAAATAAAATGAAGTCATGAATACCCGAATTCGGTTTATAAAATGCCGCAAATGAGATGGAAAACTCGGGGAAAGCTATGTAGGCACTGCAGAAGTTTATGCTTAAGAAAACAAAATAGTCAGTAGAGATAGCTAGAGTGGGGTCTCAACACTCTAAGCAAAGTTTTGGAGACGATCAAATATCTACGATAAAATGTTACAAAACGCTAAATGGGTTTACAAGCACCACCATGAGTTGCTTTACGGTACAGCCCCATAACACTGCAATCACTCCTTTGTTCTCAACGTAAATAAATGTGAACTAATTTTGGACTTGCTCACCCTATATTCACTTGCGGTAAACCAAGTTCCTACAATAAATTCTGGTAAAAACAATTTTGTTTAATTTAAATTTGACAAATGCTGCCATTGGCTTTACATTTACTAGCCAAACAAGGTTAAGCAAACCTATCGTGCGCCATATTTTCAGAGGAGCTTTCAAGAAACCCGCTGGTATGTAAATTTTTGAATCCCAAAATTTCTTCCCCAAATTTAGGCCAGTTAATAAGGCAAATCAATCATATAAAGTAAAGCTTAATTTAAGCATAAGCAGCCATATTTTTAATGAGGGTTTTGACTCTCTTGAAACAAGACTTTATGTAAAAATCGGATTTAGATTTTTTTGCGGTTGCGTTTTAATTCACTAGCGGAAAGGTCATTTGTTAGTCTTGAGCGAATGTTTTTATGGTTGGTAAACTTTTGCAAAAGTTTCTCTAATAATCCCCAGTAGGCATTTTTGCCAAATATTTATAGTCTTTTTGAGGTACTGTTATCCAATCTCGTTGCACATGCCCTGTTATCACTAAGTTAGTTTTTTTGCTTTTCTTGTTTTACACTAATAATCTGTGCCAGCGTGCATTTATAAGATGGTTGGACATTCTGTAAAATGCAGTTGTCGACTTACCGCAAAGTGTAGCACTGACATAAATGGTTTCTCAAGGTGGTTTTGTTTGAGACTTTGCATATATTTCGTAGTAATTTTTCAGTGGTTCCTAACTGTAATTTCAACTGCAGTTACTCTGCAAATGTCCTCTCTTATCGGCTTTGCATGCATTTTCTTATTTGTGCGTCCTGCAACATTGTGTTGAGATAGCACTAAGTCTGAATCTGCCATATTAAATCTGGTTTAGAGCTAATTTCTCTCTTATTCGGGTAAGAGGCATTAATTCACTAATTTGCGTCTAGCTTTACCTTACCAGACTCTCGAAATATGTATATCTTTCCAGAGTATTAGAGTTCGAGTGACGTTTTGGTTAAAATGCGGTATTTTCCTAATTTTTGTTTTTACATTTTTGAATTTAGATGCCTTTGCTAAATGGTGAACCCTTTATTAAGCAAGAACCACCATCTGATCTTCGACCCGAAGAAGAGGTTTTCTTCTCTCCTATCACCTTTGAGGTCTTTCGAAACTACGAGTGAGTACGAAGCATCTATTTACTTTGACTAATTTTCTGTCTCACCTTTTCGGGGGGCTTGTCCAGTAGTGAACAGTAGGCCTTGGGATTGCTCAAGTATCGCTGTCATTTACGTTTATGCTTCACCATATCCTTTATATGCTGGTTTTTGGTGTGCTCTTTTTTAATTCGCCTGTTGTGCCTATCCATTTTCATTTTCCTGCATGTGTATTGCTGTCCGTAAATTGCCTTTTGATTTTCGAACTCCAGTCTCAGCATTTAATTTAGCTACTGATGGGCCTCAACTACTAGGGGGTTCGTTCATATATTTTGTTGGGTATTTTTGACGACCTGTGAATATTTGCTCTAGTATTAGTGATAGATCTTGTCTTCAATATTTTGCCTCCTTTGAGAATTAAATTCAAAACGAATTTATCACCTGCTATTCGGTTTCTCCCGCTTCCGCGCTTATTTGGGCAGGTGTTGCTTCAGTTGATTCTGCGATTGAATTTATTTGATTTGCACTATTTCTTTCCAGTTAATAGCCACCTTGATAGCTTCTCTGAACACTAGAATTCTGTGTCCTGTGCATATTGTTTTTTTACTTTATTCCTCTTATGCCATATGAATCAAGTTTCCAGAGCTCATTTCTGATTGGTCGAGTGGTTGAATGACCACCAAATACCTCATTGGTCACCTGATTGTAGTGTTACCTCGAGATGGGTCGCGTGCAAGTGCCTGGTGTAAAGCCTTTTGACAGTGACGTTTTGTTGTGTTTTTTGTTCCCCTTTATAAAGTTCATTGAGGTATCATCCATTTTTACGGAACCTATGCGATGTGCACAACTTGGCTTCTACACACCCATATTTGTCGAATCTGGGAGGATTTTTCGTAGCCCTTTTAAGTTGAAAATGTGCAATCTTGTTAACTTTGATTTCCTTTACTCTTTCAAGGAGGCTCATAAATCTGCATCCACCTCGCTGTTTCCCTTTTTCCAACTGAAGCCCGAGACACGTTTCAATCTCCACATGTGCGAAGTATGCTCCCAACTCGAGTTAATTAGGTGTCTGAGAGTTTGCAGGGGTTTCAAATGCTTTGTGAATCGGGTTTTTTAATTGTAGCAACTTTGTACTTCCTTCTGTTGTCCGAATGTACCTTACTTTCTCATTATTTCAACCTTTAAATGGTTGAAATCCAACTTGGGCTAAGTGACATCATCAGATAGAAGTAGTCCATTTATTTCACTATTTTAAACTCTCTTTGTTTGTGTCACGATTTTGTGCAATTATTTGCCGTAAACTTGCAAAATACACGTGTCGCGTCTGACACCGGCACCTTGCTTGTAGTTTCATATATCCTACCGAATTTATGAAGTCTACCCTTGTCCACTTCTTACCTCTCTGCTCCACTTAGTGTGAGGTGTTTTTTTTCAGTATCTGAGTTATCGAACGATACCTATTTTCAAAGCAACTTACCTGTTGATCCTTGAATTGGATTGTTTATGGTTTCTGCCTTACACTTTCGGAGACCAAATTTGACCTGTTTCCTCCTCTTTTTCTTCTAGGATTTTTTAAGAGTTCTTTGCTTTGTTACTGCGTGGCATCTGGAGGGTTTCGATAAATTTGTTAACTTCCTTGTTTGACCTTAGAATTTATAGACGAATTTTATACCTGTTTGGGATATTAGTACGCTCGACTAGGAGAATGAATTCCAAAAATCCACTTGGACTAGTCATACGTATCTAAATCTGTCTAGTTTAAATTATGTATAAACGTCAGAATATTGTCATACATCAAATCCCCGCCTTATTCGAGTACTGATCTTGCAACTTAAGTGCACAATCAACTTTCTTCACAGCCCACCAGGTGGACGTGATTAGTTATCAGGACATTATGTAATGCCTGAAGTCATATTTTTCACGAGGAAGTCTGTTTTCCACTCTCTCTCATCAAGCTTCACATGTACTTTTCCCTTTAAATCCGCAATCGAAGTTACGGAAGGAGCCAACCTATTGCTTAAGATTCCAGGATAAGTATCTGCTTGGGATTGAGTGTCAAATGGTCACCCGGTTCGTTTGCCTATGATTGAGTCTTATCATCTTTTCATTTTCCTCATCGGTGACTTCGACTGATACAGGCGACGCATTTTGTAGAAGTTTAATTCCATCGCTTTTGGTGAACTGATTTTCTTTGATTTGAACCCAAACTGGAATTTAAGGAAAGAACACTTCCATTGTTTTAAGCCAAATGGATATGATTTCCTTTTTTGGGACTTTGTGGTGCCTGATATTGGGTTCGTTGTGTGTAGTACCTGATCACGCCATTTTAGCAATGGTTGATCATCCTTCTGTCTGAACGCACACTTCAGTCAATTGCCCATAACTGAATCCAAACCTCTCTCCGTCTTTTCCTCATTTCCGCCGTAATAGTACGTTTGGGCCTCTTTAGCTAGCGGATGATCTTTCTTAGGTTCGAACTGAGATTTTTAGGATGAACCAGTGTGTCATTGCATTGGTCCGGCATCTGAACATTCAGTGATGTCTTAAATCAGGTTAATTGGACATGGCAAAGTAGTTCCTCTGATTTTGATCCCTCTTTGATTATGATTCCTTCGATTTCCCACTGATGACTTTTTGAGCTTAACATCCAGTTCTTAGTTTCCTTCTATTGCCTACCCCGAGTCCAAATCCCAGTTTCCAAAGAAACCTAGTCCTACACTTAAGGCCGCTACACTCCAGGGATTTATTGAGTTCTGAAATGGAGCAATGAATGTCCACTTAGGTTGATTATCTATGAGCGAGGTCTTTCCTCCCCATTAAAGAATTTCTGGGGCACCAATCTAGGTAAGCGTATATTTTACTGTTGGGATGTTTGCAGTCACCTAATTTTAGTTCTCACTAACAGTTCATCTTCCCTTCTTAACTAGGTGTAAATTTGATCTTTTCTCTCTCATCACCTCCCGGCCCATGCGCAGCGGGATTTCAAATCGAAACGGAGATTTCGGGTGTATCAAAGAAAAGGCCAAATGTCAAGAGATGAAAACTATTTTTCTACGGAAATCTCTGTTGCTTTTATCCCAGCGTTAAATATCTGAAAAGCAGCTTCAGTATTAAAAGATGTTGGTACGGGTGAAATTTGCTCAGTGCAGCTTGTAATGCTGTTCAAAAGCAGGAAGTTGTCTCTACGTTCATTGTTCACTGACTCTTCGAAACTCTACATTTTCACGGATGGTCGCGTTTACTCTTCTGACAGAAAGATTCGTGTCTCGCGCAATTTTACGCCAAATTATAATTCTGGACCAATTATCCAAGATCAGGTGCTCCACGCGCTGAATGGAATGTTCGCATGAATGATCGTGCGTACTGTAGGCTGGCAATAACTACAATTGGGCTATTTACTGAAGTGCATACGTGGGCTCACCTTTAGAAAGTCGTGCTTGAAGTTTTCCACACGATCAGATATCCATGGGTTCGGGTTTTACACCTTCATTGATATAAACGCATTACTACTATTGTCTGCGATCGTGATGAGCAGTGCTCGGACAACGTCAGCCCAGGGAACGTGCGCGACTATTAGTAGTCGTGATGCTACTTATTCCTTATTACTGCGCGTAGTTTTGCCACGGTGCTACCCACTTTTGCGCACGTCTATAAATTACAGTTAAAAGTCTTCATTTTACCTAAATTTTTGTCATATTTCAGTATCGTGCCATTCAGTGATGCTTAAAATTTGATTGATTTGTTATGGACAAGTACATAGTTAGCTTATTCTCACCAATTAATTCTTTAAGCGCCTATCAAACTAAGCTTGGATGTTGCTGTCAGTACCTGAGGGCCACCAGTTTCAATTAATTGACCAGTTTTTTCACCTTGAAATCTGATGCGTAACCAGGTCCCATCTTTCTCTTCTCTGCCCCTTCAGTGACTTCTTTGAGCGTACTATTCAGTTGAACAGCATGATCTGGGGCTGCAGCTTCTGCGGTATGCACAACCTCAACTACCGCGAGGCGCTGGCCTGCGAGGAGGGTGATCGCACCCGTCTGGCTGCTTTTGGAGTAGGACTGTCGCGAGGTCTCCTGCACATTATGTTGCACGCCCGGCGTCGACGTCTTGCAGACCTTGTCGACGTCCTTCTTGCTTTCACCACTTCTCGATTCTTCGTCGGCGAGGAGTTGTGCCTCCGTCGGTGTGAAGTTACCATCAGGTGGGTCGGTGTTTTGGTGCTTTATCCCTAAATGCAGCCCTAAGCCATCTTTGGTCAGTATCAAAATTGAATAGGCAGTCTTCCTTCTGTTAAATGGTAGTCAAGTGATTTGTAAGTTTGATGTTTCTTTTAAACACGTCATTTCTTAGCCTTTGACTACTGAGTTACTGATAACTCCAGAATTATATTCTGAAGATTTTTCAGCTTTGGACCTTGTCTGGTCTCGTTGGTGACACAGTTAAGTTCCACTGCCATTGCTGTCGATACTGTTTTTAGCCTTGAACAGCTTATGCCTTCACTTCTTGATCCGCGGTTTACTTTCCTCGTTTTGAACTCTATATTTTCGATTGCTCTTGACAAATTAGACGTCATTTAAATTCGCTATCTGGTTTGAAATCGCTTAATAGTGGGTCAATTTTCTAATACTATTGCTGTTTAACGCCTGCGTTCGGTTTTGGGAAGTTAAAGTCTTCATTTCCCGCCCGATGATCCAGTTTTTTTTAATTAACGAAGGGCTTATAAGCTTGTCTCGATTGTTGGATTGCCTTCCCTTTATTCAAAGTTTAGTTATACCTGCTTTAATTTGTTGAATCTCCGTATGTACATTTCTGATTGATCGTCATATTAATCACATTGTTTCTTAGTGCCTGCTTAGAGTTTAGCATTCTGACTTGCCACTTTTCGGCCTGGAATTAAGTTCTGAAGGAGATTAGTTTCAGCCATTTTCACTAATTGCTAGGTTCCTGTAGTATCACAGCTACCGATATCACCTTTGATTCAGACATTGCATCCAGCTTCGAATAGTCGACGTCCGTGTTTCTTACCGTGCTGTTTTTGCAAACTCTTCCTTCCTCTAAAACCGGTTCTGATGGTAAAATCTGGTTTTCAATCACCTCTTTCTCCGTTTACTTTGAGCTATTTTTGTTGCTACTGCTTAGTAATGAATTTCGAATTTAAGCAGTATTCAAACTCGCTCATGATGGTGGCTGGTGGATTGCCTATCAAAACAGTCAGCCCAGAGCCAGAACCTGGGGATTTTCCTGTTACAAGAATGCAACGTTAAATTTGGTGAGCGATCTCCGGTTAGGTACATCTCCACGCCTATCTGCTTAGAGTCGTTGGTCCTCTGTGGTTAGCCTCACCAATGCTTCAGCTTAGAATGTCGTCTAACTTTGAGAATGGCTCTCTTGTCAAGTTTCATTGATGCCACTGATATTGCAACAAGTTTCCAACAGCGACTTCGTTCTCTGATCTACAGTTCAATTTCTTCATTCTCGAATGGTTTAGAGTTGTCCGATTTTTGCTGCTGTTTAACAATATCGCCGAAATCCTTTACACCAAGGTTGAAGTGTCACCTTTCTGCTCGCCAGCCTAAGCGTGAATTGCGAAGAATAGAAACTTACCAAGTTGAGAAGAAACTAACTTTGATGGATAGATGGCGTCTTGTTCACTGTATTTTCTGAGTTGTATCTCCTCGGTCTACTGCCGCTGGTCTTTCAGCTTTCGATTATGATAGGGGGTGGAGTAGTTGAGTTTTGGGGCTGCTAATATCACACTGGGGTGTTACGTTTTTCATTCTCTTTCTGTTGGGGCTGTATCCTTTTACCCCTCATTATTCTCCCTACGTAGGATTGCTACACCAATTTTGCACTTTTTTTAATTCTCTTGGAATTATTTTCTGACCTATTTCATACCATCTTTCTGATTAGCTCTTGCTCAGTATTCTGGAAATTACTTAAGAAAGGCATTATTCGATAAATTTACGTTATTTGACATCGTGATTGTTAATTGTTTGTCATTTTATTTCTAGCTCTGAACCCTCGGTCGTCGTCGAACGAGTTATTTTACCACCACCAAGGCCCAAATCCGAAGATATCGTGCGTTTCTTAGTTAATTGCCTGCTAATTACCTCCTTTGATGTGCTCTTTCTGTGAAGTACTAACCTTACTTGAGTAGGAAAACGAAAGGCCTCCGACAATGCCTGATCCCAAGTTAATCAAATACGTCGTGCGTGGCATTGAAAACCAAATAAGCTCAAACAGCCCTACTGATTCGAATCCGACACTAATTCTACCCCATTCGGCTTTGCACCGCCCGCCACAAAAGTTTCTCACTCGCGACAGGATAAAATCTTTCATTAGGCAGACTGGCAAACTGGAGAACCAGTTCTTCGTTCCTCGGGTAGGGGCCAAAGTGTTGTGTATTTACCAACTACTAATTTAAGTAGCAAGCCTTTTATATGTGGTTTTTGTCTCTTTTAGGAATCCGTGATAAGGTACTTCAACCTTTACCCTCTTGGAAGCCTCAAATGGGCGGATGTATTTGCCGAACCGGATCTACCTTGGTCTGACATTGTGACTCCACGAATCGTAACTGGTAGTTGTGGGTTTGGCTGATTGCAGTGGCAGTTTTTTATGCTCTTCTCCATTTTATTACCCTTTATATCCATCCATAGGTCGTGAAAAAATGCTGATGGTTTCAAGGGATGGTTCAAATGCTGCAACAAAGAGAGCTGGTAATGCTTCCGTCACAGTAAAATCTATAGGTGAGGATTTATCCACACAGTCTCGAAAGAACCTGCGAAGAAACCTGTAGAAAAGCGTATCAGATAGTTTGGGTAGCATTGCTCAATTGCCCTTCCTTTTTTGTCCTCAGGAATTTCCATAAACAACCACTCATCGTCAGAGTTTGGTACCACCAATATCCACCGTCTCACCCGAATTGAACGAACCGATTTGGAGCGCACTTGGTCCCTCCTCCGCAAACGCGATGACCTTGATCTCTCCGACCTCGTTCCACTGCCACCACTCACGCCTCTCCGACTGCGGCGCTTCATCCCACCAGAGGACTTTGGTGTCTGCCTCCAAGTCTACGAGTTCTTCCACGTCTTCGGAGGTCTTTTACACCTTCCAGTACCCGGTGCAGCGCGACAGGTTGTGAAGGGCGAGGCAGGGAAGTCTCCTGTTGTCATGGAGGATGAGGACGAGGATGGAGGTGGTTATGACGGAATCACCTGGGAGATGTTGGAAGATGTACTATTCAGTCAAGACCCTATGGGCCCATTCGCTGATGTTTTATTTGGTCTTCTATGTGCTATTCGGCGTCTAGAGGTTGGTGGAGAGCAAACGAAACCAAGTAGATTCTAATAGGTGTCATGGAAGCTAACTTCCTCTCTTTCCCTTCAGAGCGAAACAAATAGTCGACAGCTGCCACCCACTGCTGAAGCCGCCGCTGCTTCCACCGTCTCCGCCATCGCCACACTGGAAGCAGGTCTCCCCCTCGCCTCTGCAGGCTTTCTTACAGGCCTTGGTTGCTCTCAGGAGTACACTGCGGTGCTTGCAGATACCCTTACCACTGCCTCCGGTTCAGTTCTCGCCGCGATCTTCCATGCAACAGCCGAGGCCACGCGTCAATGTGAGCTTGTCGGTCTTGCACCCATCCACTCGGCACTGACATCGAGAGCGGAACGGGCCGCTGCTACAGTAGCCGTTGGTGGCGTCTCGGTGGCTGCGCCGTCAGAGGGCGGAACGAGCACTGGCCGCTCGTGGGCGGTCCGCGCCTCTGCGCTGGCTGTCGCTCTCGGTGCGGCTTCACTGCCGCCACTGGATAGGGCGGGATTGGCAGAAGCCCTTTGGCTTCACATCAGTACTGCACCAGCTAAGACGGGCGGGTGGAGGGGTTCTATTTGGGGTGGCACGAGACCGCTGGATGATCCCTGTGTTGATCTGATGCGGAGTAATCGGGAGATTGTGGACAAACTACGATCAGGTAGATCTTTTTGAACCTTCGATTTGTATTTTGGGTGGGTGCAGCTAGACTAATCGTAACCACTCTTTCTGTTGGAAGTGCAAGTAATAAGTACTTGCGTCGATCTCATATATATATTATGATGGATCGGGGACCAGATTGCAGATTAAACATGCATTGACGTTGGATTGTTTTAGTTTAATTTAAAATTTGACTGCTTTGTTTCCAGAAATGTTTTGTAGAATGTCATCTGTATCGTTAACCAGTTCAAAGGGGAGTATGGAATAAAACAATTGACGGTGGACTGTCAATACTTTGTTGATTCACAAAAATTGTAGGGAGACTCATGTAAGGAATAGGCAACGTTTTGCCTAATCATCCCTTCCTTGGTGTTGTTCAGTGCCTCTCTACACCTGGCCACTGAGCGATCGCCTTGCGCTGATCGTCAGTCTCATTGACGAAGTGCTGCTACAACCGCAGTTGCGCGAACGTATGGAGGCCGCCTCTGAGGGTCTCCGACATCTGCGATTACAGCTGCGTGGGGTGCAGGCGGAACGCTACAAGTTCTATGGTGGCAATGCGAACATCGCCAACATGCTCTACGGCTTCTCGCCCTCCACCCTCATTTCTACCAGCGACAGCTGGCTCACTGGCACCCCACCCATCCTCCGCAACAGTATGAATCGGCCCCGCAAGAAGACCATTGAGGCAGCGAAGGCAAAAATTGCAGCAGAGTTCAACTGTGCCAAGGGGTGAGTGGGTCCTACTTCTGTTTCTCCATCTGTCTGCCTATTTGACTCTGTTTTTTGTCTCCATCCCTCTCATCGACTTTGTTTCTAATCGCCTCCCACCCTAGCTTCAAAGCAGTGTTTGGTTAGTGTGGTGGGCATCGTATCATTAGTTCATTTTGCAAATTCGTATGGTCGTCTCATTATTGATAGGATTAGTTGTGGTGTGCTATTTCTTGGTAGCCGTCTATTTGGGTTTTAGGCCACCTTTTTGAATTAATACTTGGAGGATTGTAGCCGATAAAACCATAGCCAATGAAGTTTTAAGAGCTTTTTTTGGAAGTATTTCAATGCTCAGATTTGATGTTTGCATGTAGCAGGCGACCAAGGTGTTTCGAATTGGCTTCCTGTAATTCTAGTGGTTTGTTTTTCTGCGATGAAATTACGGTAGAAGACGTTTTTTGAGGTCATGAGACTTGGAGGTCAGTTCGCCTTAGAGGTTAGTGCATACTGTATTCATAAAGGTTCTTTGCTTAATTTCTGGAGTTTCTATGTTATGTGGTAGGATGAGTTTTGCCCTACGGGAGAATAAGCGCGTCTTTTGTCCTGACCGGTCAGGATTACCTAGCCACAAGTTTTTTGCACACGTGTTTAGTTAGTTACTTTAGACATCTACCTCATCTTTTGAAGCCGTCCACTTTTATCTCGTCAATGCATGCCGCGAAAAAAAGTTTTTGAGCTCAATATCATGGTGGAGCTGAATGTGACTGACTACCTCTCAAGGAACTGTATTTAATACCTTTAGTTAAAGACTGGGTCATCAAATCGGTACTTTGGTATCCGTCGTTATTGTTTTGATACCAAAGAAAAACAAACATTCGGCAATGAATTCATGCAACGAATCCGCTTGTCGGTCAAACTTTTTCTTGATAATCTGCTTCAAATTGTTTGATGTTGCTGAAAAAATAGCTTGCTAATAGTTTGATTGTTGATATTTAAAGAGGCATCCGTCGCGTATTCTTCATCAGCATGCATTAGTAACGAATTTTATTCCAAATTCATATAGAAGTAATTAATTTATTCATCTTCCCATCCCTTGCCTAGAGGGGGTATCGAATCAGACAGTCAGAAGGCGGGTTTGGGTGCAGATGGCAAGGCATCGTCGGGAGCGGGGCTGCAGCTGCCACCTATCAACTCCATCAGTGCGGAGTTGGAGAAGGCAGAGCACACGTTGTGGCAATCTGTTCTTCGTACGGCCAGACGCTTCTCTATGATTCCCCTCGGTCAGGATCGCATATACAGGTGAAGCATCTCGTCCTGAACTACTTTCAGTTTGACAGGCTCTCAGCCAACCGCTGAAGCTCATTTGACACTTATATTTCTGCTTTTGGTGAGATTAAGTGGGTTGACTGTGTATCAGTTTCTCGGATCTCGTGCACATTATCTACCATATTGTTTTCATGTAGGAAAGCCTTTATGGGCCTTTAGCCCCAAATTATTATGCTTTCACCTCAGTGTAATTCTGCCTGCCCGCTTTTGAAGTACTGACAATGCTCTTCGTACCCTTCACATCCTACACTTTGTCTTGGAAAATTTTTTTAAAGTTTCATCGCACTTTGAAAATAACTGAACTTATTTTTCTGATTCTCAAGTCAAAAGAAAAATTTTTAAAAATTTGCAAGCAACAATCCTCGTTTGGTCTAAAGCTCTTGACGCCAAGACCAAGTTTATGTGTTCAATCTTCCTCACTTCTCATCTTTCATAGGCGCTACTGGCTGGTGCCGTCACTACCAGCCGTCCTGGTGGAGGACACCTTGCAGGAGGCTTCTGCATTCCCTCTCCCCTTCACCTCCCCCGTCAAGGCTGAGGGCAGTGCATTGCAGGTACCAATACCTGCTGCGCTGCGCGTTCGCGGCCGTCAAGTTGGTGCGGGCACAGCTCTTGGGGCGAGCGCAGCGGAGGCGGCACGCAACCTAAAACGCGCGATTGAGCAACTGTGTGCCAGTGCAGAGATGGAGGACGAGCATTGGCAGAACCCTCGCCTACTGGATCGCGACTCCCTCCTCTCCCAGCTCGCCATTGATCTACCTGCTAATCGAGAGGCTCTGACGTTGGATCAGCTTAAGAGTCTGATCCATCCAGTGGGTATCTACTTTTTTAGCCATGCACTGTTCCCTGTCGGTCCAAATAGCGACATTGTCGGCGTGTTCCTGTCAATGAGTAGTCTTTTGGGGAATTCTTTGAAACGATCGTTTCGTTTACATTATCTGTTTTCTGTTCTAATGATCGACTGTCTTACTACCTGCTGTTTCGCTTTCCTTGCTAGCTATGTTTCTGTTTAGTGAGCTCCTATAACTCCTATTTTGTGAGCCTTTGACACCTCTCTATCTGCGTCTGTCCTGATAATTTTTTGCGATTTCTCGCCTGTGTCAAATTCATTCTGCTTGCTGTTCTGTTTATTCTCACCGATAAAAAATGAAAAATAACCGGTTTATCTTTAGGCAAGGGATTATTTTGTGGAGGCTGCCGGTTTTGATGCTGTGCAAGTCTATTTCAGCATTTGAGTTATTGTGAAAGACGTCACAAAATGTACGAGTTTACGATTATCTTTGTTCTCTGTGCACGAAGGGCTGAAAATCAAGAGCGCAGATGGTTTCACTAGAATTACACTCGAATAAAGAAACTAGCATTATGCTACCGTATCATGTCGCCTCCTCTAATACGCCAAGTAAACTCATCTCTTTTATTTGTTTAGCCTGTTTCCTCGTAGTTAAGACCTCTGGCTCTCAAATATGTGAAAGACTGAGAAGGTCCACATAATGATATGCTAATCAAGACTGGTAATCTCAATATACTGTATTCAAGAGGACTTTGGCATTATGGTTCATTTATCCCCAACCGGCTTTCTAGGCTCGTCGTGGAAACGCCCAAGTTGACATTGATCATCCAGCTGTTGTACAGGTGGAAGAGTTGCAAAAAAACTCTCCCCGTTGGTCCCTCCTCCTCCCTCTACCACCTGAAGGAAGAGCAGGGGCAACGGAAATGGATACAAAGGAAAGTCGATACGCGGGCGGCCGCCGAGCCATCGATCAGTTAGAGGCTTCATTGAACCCTCGAGGCACCCGAGAATCTCACCTGCGTAAGGCTGTTTGCCAACTGCGACCTATACTCATCACTGCAGTCGCGGAGTGTCCAGTAGAGGTGCTAGCGGTGCCTGAAGAAGTGAAGAAAGAGGGAAACGCATCCCTTCCGGTGAGCTGATTTCCATCAGTCAATAGGTGCCTTTTTGAATCCATTATTCAGTAATACCTTTGTTTACGACTCAGACGAAAGATACTCTGTCAATTCTACTTGCTTGGCTTGAGACTGCAGTACATGGAGTCGCAATGCGTTTGGGTGTTCCGCTTACAAAGTGAGTTCGGTTTTCTTGATCATTAAATCAACTTGGTCAATTGCTGCCTGTCAGTTTGCACTTTTTTCTACTCAGTTAGCGGATTGAGTGCTACTTTGCATTTTTGTAGACTGGAAGAAGGAACGAAGACTATGAGGATGGAGGATGGGGAGGAGGCCGATTCTAGTGATGAAGCAACGAATCCGTAAGTCACCGAAACGTGAAACCCACTTATCACTGCTTCTACCCACGTAATATATTAGTAATGCCTTTGTCATAATTATTTATGGAAGGGAGTTTACACTACATACTGCGAAAAGTCTTATTAAATCTACGAGGATACTCATTTTTCGTCTCGTTCAATTGTCATTTTTTGTTAGAATGCTCACTTTAAAGTAACTTGTTAAAGAAATATTTAATTTCGCAAATGTAATAACCACAACTGCCAAAATTAGTGGATAAACTCGCACAAATGGACCTTTTCTTTTTAGTTCCAGTGATGAACCGTACCAACGACAGAAATTTCGCCAGTTGGCACAAATGATCCTCGCCCTTGGCAACGCCGTCGGTCCGCGTCGTTTAGCAGCTCCGCTTAGTAACACTCCAGCCTTCCACACCTTTCCTTGCCTCTTCTCATAAGGTCGTTTATCCCTTGGCTTTTTCTATCTAGGTGCCGACGATCGTTCTCTTCGTGGAGCTCTGCCCTCAACTGCCAGTCTTGCCTCCCTAGATGAAGTCAGCACGTCTTCGCCATCAACACCGCAAACATTATCGGGGTTTGACATGTCGACAGTGGGTGGCGCGACCACGGGGTTCCAGCGGTGGTGCAACTGTGTGCGCTCGGCCACTACCACCGCTCAACTGCACCTCCTCTTGCGCGCCCTTGAACGCTCTGTGCGGAAGGCCAATCGGGGTGGGCGTGGGGTACCTGCAGCCATTGGGAGCTATGCGACTCGTTTCCGGCTCCCGGAGATTCGGTGTACTGCGTGCCGGTAAGTATTGCGTTCCTAAAAATCGATTTAATGGAAACTTTAAGGTTCAAGTCATTTCTTACTTTAACATTGTAGAGGTCCTCCAGACCAGGCTTCTGTAAGTAGTGGCGGAGCCGGTAGCGTCGTTAGCGCTTTCTGTCTCTGTGGTGGCTGCGCCTGTCCCTTTCACCAGGACTGCCTCCTCAGCAGCCTCTCCCGTCAGAGTCCCCGCTCTTCCTCCACCATCATCCGCACCAACGCCTACTGCGGCATTCGTGCCGCCGACGCCACATCGATCACAGCTCTCTCCTGCCTCTATTCTCTAATGCCATGTCACATAAACACAACCGCAGCGACGCGACAAGACTGTCTAAAGGGCGCTCTCCTCCTCTGCCAACGCTGCCGACGTCTGGCTGGCGGCTGTGGAGAGGAGGCGGGGAAGGCTGAGGAGGAGTTTTTTGCTGAGCCCCTGCCTGACGAGTTGCTAGAGGCTGTAGAATTGAAAGAGATTATTGATGAAGGCGGACAGGCTGTTGAAGAAGAGAATGATAACGAGGAAGACGGAGAGGTGGTGGAAGGGCTTCAGGATTGTGAGGGCGAGACGGTGGATATCGATGGAGAGATGTCTGTAAAGAATCGAAATGTAAGTGAATGGGAGGAGGGAAATGTACTACTGTACTGACGTCTACGTCTAATTTCCTCTAGATAACACCGACCCCGACTCGAGGTTGGTCTTCGCCAAATGGCGTGCCGACGGTGAGACGTGGTCATGGTCGACGTTCAAGGGGGTCATTTTCCTTAAGATCTGCACTCGGCGCCGGCCACCGCGGGCGGTCAGCGAAGCGTCCGCGGTATTTGGAGGACTATGAGGGTGATGAAATGGAGGAGAGTAGCGATCAATTCAACAACGACACAATGGGAAAGAAGACCAAAACGGAGGACATCTATGTTGACGAGGATGTGCTCTATGAGGATGAGATGGAGGCATACGATGATTTAAAACCGAAGAACAAGGCGAGGCGAGGAGTCTTGAACAGTAGGGGTACGATAACTGATAGTAATGGCGATGATTGTACTGATTATGTATTTCGTTGGTTCTGTGGAAGTTTTTTAGGATTGGAGGGTAAGGTGGTCATTTACGATGGTTTTGAAATATATCTATAGGTAACTTGAGTCGTGTATGGTTGAGCAGGATCAATCTGTTGTGGATATCTCATCAATACCGTAGTGGTCGCAGCTGAAATTCACTAGCTTTTGTTAGTAATAACTAGGGAAGGAAGGTAAAGAGAAATAGACGATTCCAACATTATTTTGATACGCTCTTTCGCCGTAACTGTGTCAGAGCTAAAAACTGAGGAAGTTATACGCCATTCTTTTAACCTCACGGACCTGATAAAGTAGTGATTTGTAGTCAACAGTGTGTCAGAGTGATGGCCATACCTAGTTCTTGCGGAACTACTCGTCGTCGTCAGACTTTGATCAGGGAACCAATTGGATTGTTACCCATGTGGGCCATTAAGCCAGAGCCTTCTGATCAGTCGTTTGGAATGAGGGTACAGTTGATCTGCATGCGTCTCGTGTTGTAGCTGTCCGTAAGCCCGGTTTACATATGTGTCCCAGCAGTTAGATACCTCTTTGTTTCTCAACCAGCGTAATTGAATGGATGTTAGAAGTTTCTTTTGCATACAGAGGTTTATGTTCTACGGGAATTGATGAAGTTGAACGGAGATTATAGTTTTTGAATGGTATGCTATTTTTGTGGTATGTTAGTTACTTCTACTATGACCCCTTTCAGCTCACCGAAATCCACTATGGCGTCAGATCATTCTAACTCGCACTTTAATGATGACCATCCGCTGATAGGTAAAAATACAAACATTAAAAATCTTAACCTTGATGAGATATGCCATTGTCCAGCTTCCCACCGAAGACGACTGTACTCTTCTTCCTTGGGAGCTATCGTTATGGTACGAATGAACTCGACAAACTTGTTTTCAAGGCTCTCTGGTATGAATTTCCTATTGGAACCTGCATTAAAACCAGGATACTTCCTCAGAGTATCGTTTGCTCATATTTGCGAACAGCTGCTGTAGTCAGATGATTTATAATCTACAGATAAAAAGCTGCTGATGAATTTGTAATGGAACTACTTCTAAGATTCTTGAATTGTGGGACGTCCCGTTCCAATTTCGAAAAATCATGGGTACCCAGGCTAGATGACAACGAGTTTCATACCTCGCCTTTTACAGTTAGCAGGGTCTCGATGGAAACCATCGTACCTCGTAAACGAGGACGTCCCTCCAAGGTGATTACAGCCGCGCCTGTCCGTCAGTTATCTTCCTTGAAATCAGTTGATACAACCGTCAACAAGGTGAAGTCAGAAAGTGGAGAGGAGAAGGATGGTATAAGTGATGGAGCCTCTTCTTGCCCTATTCGGTCACAACAGGCAGCAGAACGGCTTTTAGCTGAGGTCTCTGCCCTCTCCGCCGCTCGCCCACTATTGCGCTGTGCCTTGAGCAAGACTTTTCAGTCGGAGGTGCCATCGGAGCAGTCGGTGCAAACGCAGGCTCAGCAACGACGTCGCAACTCCTCTAGGCCGCGTCGGTCTGCCACCCTTCTCGACGGTTCGTCTCCGACGAAATCGCCGTTGGTGAGCGGACTTTTGGCGTATGATCTGGAAAGTCTTCGTGATCTTCTGGCACAGGGCAATCTGCCAGGTGGTCCGGCACAGGTCGTTTCACAGTTGCGGTGAGTCAAATAGACAGTTGTTATTTGTTTTCGGGTTGCCTAGTCGTTTTTAAGTAGTATCAAATTTCTTATTTCCCATCCCCTTTAGTATTCCCTGCTGGTACTAGCGCGGATTCATGTTACCTTACTTGTAATAAGTGGCGCCACCAGTTTCTCTGTTTTGGTTGTTATATAGACTTTTGACGCAGCACTGGACGTCCTCCAATCGTCCGGGCAGTCGTCTTCACGGCTGCGCTCTAGACGTCTCGGCGTTTTTGGAGAAGAGACTGCAGGAACTCACTGAAAATCGACCGACTTAGATTTGCGCATTTCGATTCTACTTGCTTCTCTTGGCGTGCCGAAGAATAGCAACAGCAAGAAAATAAATGCAAAATGGATATTTGTTTAATTGTAGTGTGTGAATGTGAATGTGTATTCACACACTCAGCTCCTGGTTGATGTATCTTATTGAATACGTGTGTGTATTTTAGCTACCCCTTGACTTTTCGTCTCCCTTTTTCCTATTGTTTTGATTTGTGAAGTGATTAGGCGAGGGGTCGTGGTTATTGGCATAGAGGGCCGCTTGTAGGCTCTCACTTTTTTCATCTAGATGCTTATATCTACTTGTGTACTTGTAAGTAGCTACTGGTTGATCGACGATATTGCAGCGCCTGTAATTAGTACCCAGGAATATGTGGCAACAGTAAGTTCTTCTCGTTTTCGTAACCAAAGTTTATCAATTCTGGAACCTCTTCAGAATACTTCAGTCGCTGATATGGTTGTTGTCGGAATTTATCAGTACGATACTTTGTTTCTGGTGGTGCGAGACTGCGGCTTGGTGACCTCTGCTTTTACCTCGCTTTTATTTCCCAATCATCTCCACTCCGAGTGTGGTTATTTGGCGCTGCTACCTAGTGAACTGTTGTCAGAAGAATAAGTGCGGGCCGTTATTGACCCCTCATCTCACCAATAAGGCCTTTTCATGGACCAGTTTTGCGATGTGTGGTGTGGCTTTATGCAATGGTTTGGGAGTTTTGTCACTGATTCACCAGTCTTTCCTGTTTCTTAACGAGTTTCATTTGCAATTTTTCTGGTCGTATCGAGTAGGGTCTCAGCTGTAATTGTCTGGCCTTTGACAAATGAGCAGCTCTGTATGCAACTCACCATACAAACGAAGCAGTTCGTAATAATGAGGTGATGTCCTCCCATTTGTTTGCTTAACAAATGTTTAGGTATAGTACCCATTTTTCGTCACATACGTGAATGAAGTAAGGAAGTTTATTGTTGTCCGGTGTTGACGCGTGTAGGCGAGGTCCATTTCCTTAACTCAGTCCTCGACACGATTTTCTCTTCCCAGTTGATGTATGTGTAAAAGAGATGTTGCTTCACTGACGTTAAACACTAGTTACACGTGGTCTTGACATGTCAATACCGAATTATCGCCACCAGTTACTACGCGTAACTCCCCTATTCTCATCATTAATGAGAAGCCTTTCTAAATGTGGTTCACCCACGATTGGGTGATTTATCTCCTTTTTTTTGAATAGACTTTCTGGTGCCAATTTCCTCACCCGTCCCAAATGTTATGCAAAAAATTGTACAAAAGGCCAGTTGCTGTAGCCACACTGCAACATCTATCGAATTGTAGTTGTTGACTCGTCAGTTATGGCTTTTCGGCTGAATGGTTCTGCTGAATAGCTGATCTCAAACTGGATTTGTTGGGCATGGTCACATAACTCGACTTATCTGCTAGACTCCAGAAAGGCAAACCGGCCTAGCTTTGTAGCTGTAGAAGGCCTGGAAGACCAATAACACAGGCAACAAACCGACTTCTATGTAGCAAGTGTAGCGCCCAAATTGTTAGATGGGGTATATTATCTTTCTGGGAAGCGCCATTTAATCGACTGGCATTTGAAGCGCAAACGAGGTCAAACGTTTGCAACGTTGGAACAAAGTTTGTTATTTAAAGTCTACAAAACTCTTTACAGAGTATGGATCCCCTTGAGTCACAAAAAGCAGTGTTGGGTCGGATAACCAATTGCGAAGGAAATCATTTTCAAACAGAAAATATTCGGTCCAAATAGTTTTACGTAGTCATGGGAATCAGATCGCTCTACCACGGTCTCCACACCGAAGACCGTTCCTGTTGTTGCTGTTGTCTACTTAGATCTTCTGGGTTGGAGGAGGATAGCGGTGTTGGCAGAGCGGTCACAGCACTTCTTTGCTCTAGAGTATCGAGGAATGCCGATGCAGCAGCCACTTTTCTTGCCTCTAAGGCCATCAGCAGCGCCGCGGTCTGGCGGGGTGGAAGTAAGTAAGGCTGGAGAAGCGTTGTAGAAGTGGCAGTGAGGAGGTGACGAAGGGCTGCCTCGCACGCCGAGTAGCCCGCCAGAAAACTTAGCCATGGGGTCTGGGGTGGTAGAGGTGTGGAATTCCCTAAAAGAAAGTGAGGAACGTACAGATATCTACCAAAATGTGGCTTAAAGGTTGCTTCTTGTAAGCAGATGACAGAGAATGGAGACGAAATCATGGTGCCTATAGCCAAATTTCCTAGATACTTACTGGCTGCACAGGAGTGCACGTATTTGACAGTTAGATCCAGAATATCCGCCTTTTCCAATTTCTGAGCCCCCTATAACAGATTAAGAACAGGTTTTTCATTTGATAAATATGAGACGACGAAAGAAGACACCTGAACAATTTGCATAACTGTTGAAAGTTCTAATAGCTTTAATAAAGATACAATGTGCACCTCCTTTAGAATTGGTTCCGCGACGAAACGCTTTAAGGTTTCCAGGGCCAAGTTGATCCGCTCTCGCCTCTTCTTTTCCATAAGCGGTTTCATGACCTAATTAACAGAAAACCAGCAGATTTGGTATGATGATGTCAGGTAATGAAGTTGTACATCTGGGATGCCCAGTGTAATATGGCTCAGGGGTATCTCGTATCCCGTGGTGTCCTTACCTTCTAACGCAACAGAAGGAATAATACCCTGAGAAGCACCACTCGAAGCTTACCTGGCTCGGTCAAAAGACAAATCCGCGCTGGGAGAGAAAAAATGTTACATTTCGGTAACCCACATACGTAGATATGAATTCTTAATCTCCTGTTTTTCCTCCATCACGCCCTTCGACTGCTGACCACGAATGAACACACAAATTTCTTCGCAGCCCAAAAAAAGCTGAGTTGTGACTGATAATTCTATTTAGGAGCCTGCTTTGTTTCGAATTTAAAATATGAATAAGTGAAAAACGCATATTTTGTGCTCAAGCAGCCTCACCTTGCGCAGTCGACTGGCATCTTCACTGCCGTTTCGTGGGCGTAGTCTACCTATCATTGGGTTACGATGATATTGACTGGAATAAAAAAGCCTTGGACTACCTCCACTGTAGGGTTGCAAAGACACATTTGATTTGGACGACTGCCGTGGCTGCGCCATTTGACACAATTCCCCGTAAAATGAGATCGCAGAATGGAGCGTACTCGCATGTATATCTCATCCTGCCTGTAATTGGCAGGTGGGGTGGGCATGTGCATGCGTGCATCCCTGTGCTAGACCAATCAGCGCGTGGTGCGTCACATTTCACATCTGTGCACTGGCGGAAGTGCTTTGCACACAATGCCGACTGGGTTGATTTTAAAGTAACGAGCGGCAATACGTCGACGGAAAGTAGTCCAATCATTATTTCTATTCATGATGGCACGCAAAAGTACTGCCAATAACCACTTATCTGCTCCTTATGATGCTTCCACCCCCATAGCGGTGGAATTGTGGCGTTAATAGAGTTTTAATAATTTAAAAGGTCGCCGACCCATAAAGCCCAAAAAGAAATAGTGAGAGGTATGTGGGTATCATAACAAGGTTGAAAGCCAGAGTTTACATAGGGATCAACTGTTGATCGGAAATCGACCGGATTGCTCCTTTGGGTGTGCAGTGGTCTCGAAGCGATTGGTTTTTCGCAATGAGTATTCGTACGACCACTTGGTCTGGGTTTTCGCGCCATTAGAAAGCACAGTGTAACTGACGACAGCACGATCAGGTAGCGCCGTCTAATATGGCAGATTAGGATAGATTATGGTAAAGGGAGAGGCTAAAATAGCTGACGTATTCGTCTTTAAAATCGTACGAATGATTTATTCTAGTATAACTCTAGTAGTTCTATGCACGCTGGCTTTAGCTGAAAGCATAAAGGTCTCATTCATGATTATTGGCTCAAGGTTAAGGATGTGCATTCCCATTAATGCTTATCAGTTCGTTCAAGCAAGTAACTTACAGCTATGCTTCAATGTACATGGAAAGTAGCACAGCTGTCGATTTCTGACGTTTAATAGCATAAATGCCTCCCCAACTTGTAATCTGTACAAAAAATTCGACTGCAGACTAGCATCAGGCGCTTCTTTGCTATCCACTTACGGAGTTAGTTGATATTGAACTCTTTCCCTCAAAGGACCAACCATTTACCACTATTATCTTTGACTGAGAATAGGAAGAGGTGGAGGGGAGAAAGGAAACGATATCAAACCGTGGGAAAGAGGTAAACAAGATTTGGGTGGCGACAGCATGAGAGGGGTCGCTCTTTAAATTAGCCTGTTAGACATTTAGTCGCCCGGTCAGGCAGGTAGTAAAACCGCGCATCTCAACCTGACACTAGCAGATTAATTCATTTTAAAAGACGTTGACTCTTGGTTTAGTTTTTAAGACCGATGACAATGGTAAGGAGCCCGTAAAACAAAGCCAAATACGCAGTACTTTAATATGAAGTGCCGTCATTGAAAAATGCTGAATTAGACATATTATTTAGGCAAGTGCACAACTCACTCATTGCTTGACCAATAAATTCCAGGCAAAGAAAAAGAGTTCGGACTAAAATGAAAGTACTCATACCCTAACCATCACCTTTTAAGTTGGCCAACCGCAGGGTAGTAGCGCTATAAGCGGTCAGAAGTGAACACCTGAGGCGTGGACACTGAACCTCCGAAGGTTAGACCCGGAGGATGACGGGGGAGGCTAAAAATAATCACGCAGATCTGGTGTCGTTTATTTATATAAACGGGAACATAATTTCACGGATGTCACTTCATGCTGTGCTTGGATAGGGGTCCATAAGGTACGTATCGGTATCAATAAAGTAGGCTGTAGAAGCAAAGTGTCAGATTAAATAAGCATTCCATAACTCAATAACGCGTGAGAATGATGTCAAAATGAAATTCGAAAAGTTTTATAAATGCTTCCAAAAATTTAAACAGCCACTTAAAATGAAATATGCCTACGCGACTGAATACGCGAGAACTTTCCTTCTGAACATCCGGTTTCAAAAGAGATCTATCTGTACTGTCATTTTACGTCAAATTTCATTTTTCCATACTAATTCAACTTAACAAAGAACTGTCTGAGTTAAAGGGAGGACTTTTATTATCCCGTTGCAGACATCTGATCCAAATGTTTAAGGGATGCGCCACATATCGGTTTTGAAGATGGTGAATAGAGGATCGTCAATTTATGTATTTACATAAACCTAATCTGATGCTGATTTAGGTTCAAGGAGATGTCGAAAGATGACCAGAAAAATTGGTGCGTTTTCGACGTAATTTTTAAGGACTTGCAAAATGTACACCTGTGCTTATGGGCATGTCACAATGCAGGAATAAACAGGTGTTATTCTACCGGCACAGAGCCCGTTATTGTATTCCGCACTATCTTGCCCTCGCTTTGAATGCATTCTCACATTATCAATTATCTATTAATAAAAACCCTATGAATGTGAGTTGAATGAGTCTGGTTGACTAACGGAGGTTGACTCGATACCACCGCCACCACTGCAGGGGCCAGCCTCTGTGAGCTTTGTTTTGTGGCACTAGAAGAGGGCACTGTTTGCTGTGAGGGAACGCACAGCCCAAAATCGACCAACTTAGCTCAAATAATCTGATTTTGGTAATGAAGAATCTGTAATGGACAGGTGCATTACATTAAAGAAGACCCTCAAATCTTGATTAGAACAGGAAATGATGTGTCGATACTGACTACCGAAGTCACTCGGAAACGACTTTTATTAATGCTTGAGGTAAGAGATGAAGAAGAAGATTGTTATATAAATGAACTGGGTAAGAAAAGCAGTGCTAATGGGGACTAAAGATGTAAGCAAATGGATCCATCCCATGTGTACTAACACCGGATTGAAGGTGGTTGGATCCTGCCCTTGGTTATCCCAAGCGATTCACTTTCTCACTAACCACTTCACACTTCTAAGGCAAGGATCACTCCATCTGTGTGTGTGTGTGTAGCGCAGTGCGGACGCCATCGGCGAATCATTCTCATATTGAGGGAGCAAGAATTGAGGTTGAGATAAGTTTACTTGATCCACATTGATTTTAAATGGAAAGTGCCCAAGAGGAACCTCTCCTTTGTCTCTGCCACCGTCATCCTCTTGCCTTCACCTTTGTCTTCTTGGACAGGTAGGGCTGGTGAATCAGTGAGAACATGCTGATCTTGTAAGACAACACAACATAGGATACTGTAAAGCAAATCACTAAATTGCTCTGTTGGAAGACATCGTACTGAACGCCAGACTGAGACGGGAAAAGGTACTATCCCACCCTTATCCTCGTCCTCCGTATTCCTCCAATGGTACTCGTCGTTAGATAACCAGACACAACTAGGATAGTTTAAAATTAAAACCGCGAAGGGATTGAGTGTAGCTGGGTTTTGGAAGCTGAGAAAGGATGATGGTGGTTCTTCCATCATTAGCCTCTTGAAACGGCTCACTTGTACAACTCAATGATTTGCGTGTATTGACAATTGTGTGTTCCAATCTAATAGTCTTTAAACCACCTTCGTATTCAAAATCCAATTATTCAGTCAAAAATATTTTCGTGGATAATTTCCAATTACCCTATATTTGCCGGACTGCAAAATACCAGCTGCGTTGAAGCAAGCAGCCCAATGAAATCAAATTGTGGACAAAGGAAACGGAAATCCATTAAGTGTTTTTAAAAAGATGCGAGTTGTTTAGGGATGAGTTTGTAACTTGGAATAAAGGATCAGGAGAATACTAAACTATCAAAAGCGTTCACCCCTTTTCTTCTCTAATGCTCAGATCGAATATCTTCTTCAGTTGGACAATCTAACACTGTGCGACCTACCCATTACTCTTGGCAGCAAAAGGCATTGTTACTTGATTGCTCGCAGGCAAGAATTTGTTTCATGTTGTGTCTGGTCTTTAAACGATAAAAATTTTGTTGCTCTACCAGGCCTGGAATCAGAAATATATGGGAGAGTGAGTACAAAGTGGAACGCAGGTACTTCTCAAAGGAGACACTAATCTATCAAAAGTTGTTGATAAAGACGTGGTATAAGAGCGAATGATAACTGCCGATTCCCACCAAAGAAGTCATTGCTAAGGAAGAATAGGGGTTATTTCGCTTTCTCAAGGGTCATTTGATAAAAACCGCACGAACGCGAATCCCACCTGCCAGCGTAAACGATGTTGTCATGGTATTCAAGCATCAGAGGCATGCATGTAACCCAACCCATGTTGCTATCTGTCTCCGTGGCATGAAGCGCCATAGTTATGGTAGATAAACACATCAAGGTGACGCGAACTTCCTGCTCAACTCTTTTGCTGGTGGCTGAGAATTCATTTGACAAAATAAAACATTTACATGGCCATGTCTTCTAACCCGAAATTTGTCAATATAAGGAGCACAGTACAACCATGCTCTGAAGTGATGACCTCTCCAAAAATTTCTCTATGAACAGGCTACATACCGGTAACGGTTGGGCAGACGTCAAAGCATAAATTCAGCTGCTACACCTCGGCTACATCGAAATGTGGAACACTCACACACACTGGGACAAGTGTTCATAACGAGGTCACGACTTCTGTTATCATAAGGGGCGGCGGTTATGGTATTGGTCTTAGTGGCAGTGGGCATTGTTTGCACAATCGGAATTAATACTTTCATGCCATCTGGTTTCACCTAGTGGCAAGATTTAGTTACTGTAATGAAGGTTACATCAAGTAAGACTCTAGCCATGTCAATCTGTATCCGTCCCGCATAAATCATCCTTCTTAAAAGTTGGAGCCCCTTGTTCGTGGACGAGCACCATGAGTGGGGTATGAATTAACTATGGCTGTTTGGGGAGCATTTCTGGTAGTCTATTTTTGCATTTACTTTAAGGAATTTAGTCTAATTTTAAGGACTGAATTAAAAACCAGAAAATTTTGCACGGTGAATGATGGCCATCGATTTAACCAAATGGAGCTACTACTTATGGGTGATGTGAATTTATCATCTTTATGTATAAAGTTTCCTTATGAGAGAGTGCATGACCTTTCA